TTAAGTTAATTAATTCTGTTAAAAGTAGTTGAAACAAATTTCATGTTAAATTTAAACAAGTTCTATGAAATAATTCTTTACAAATGTAGTTCTGGTAGAGGAATTCCGCTAATGAGGAAAGATGGCTAAGAAAATTTGACACTCATATGACATATTAAAGACAAGAAGGACAGAAGATAGCAGGTCATAATTTACCTAACGAGCGTGTGTGAATGTTTGTCAAAACAGTGTTTTAGAGGGATAGCAAAAAAGACAAACATATACTAAGCGTTACAATAGAAGAAAATATATATATATATATATATATATATATATATATATATATATATATATATATATATATATATATATATATATATAAATACGTGGACATTGAAGTCAATACTTAGAGGCTTAAACAAGTAAAGATAACCAATACAAATAAATAAATAAACAAATTAAAATATTCTCCCGCCAAAATAATAGTTAGAATAAACTATATCAATCAACCCCAAAATTGAATAAATAATTTGAATTATCTTCCCAAACCAAAACAAAAGTATTAAATAAAGCGATATAAACAAAATTTTACTACGTTAATAAAACATCGATTAATATAAAAATAAACAAATATATAAGATAAGAAATAAAAATGAAAAATAAAAATAAAAATAAATAAAAACAAGTCAAATAATTTAACCCAAATAAATAAATAAACGACTTCCGGCAAAATAACCGCCAAAATAGACTACCCACAATGCACCACTGACCCGTATATATATATATAGCCGAGAAAAAACAACACTCGTGGCCTGACGATTGCGTCTAGCATGGAACAGCCTATAAAAGAAGAAGCCTCTAGGTGTTGACTTAAATGTTCACTTTTATATTTACACACGCTCTATCTCTGATATTGAGCAATTTATCCAATAAATATATGTTGAAGCTTAAATAAGCATGGAATAATACAACACAAAATGTACGTTAACAAAATGTATTGAAACAAAGAATAGGTACACAATATTTACAGTTAGTTTGGTATATTCTTGGGAAGACTGTTCCTGCATAATGGGTTGACTAAATCGCAGTCGGGCAGAGTCTCTGGATTCAATTTCTTAATCTCTACTATCTTCCCCGTCTTCCGGTACCAACCCATATTTATATGGTCGGTAGTCCGCTTATGTAAATTAGGTGTATCATACACAACAATATAGCACACCTTAAGAGTATATTTCTTCATATATATATATATATATATATATATATATATATATATATATATATATATATATATATATATATGGTGGAAGAGCAAAATTGTCCAAATCGTGTTACAGCAAAATTCTCAAATTGTTAGATTAAGTTTTGAACCGTTGTATCTCAGAAATGATTAGTGATATCAGATTTTTTTTAATAACACTATTGGACTCTACTTTGAATAATAAGAATGTATTTAGCCCTAAGTTAAAAATGATGATCCCTATTTTTGTTGTGACCTCCTGAATTAGTTTTCTTCTGTACCGTTTCCTTTTTTTCCAAAAACTTATTCACCGTTCTCTTGATGGTTATTCAATAGACTTTGAAGATAGGAGCCAGAATATGAATGTTGGTAGCATTACTGACGGCCTGAATGATCTTTTTCCTCTCACCATTGCTCAGTTGGGATAGAGTGAGGCTGACACAAAACGATCTTAATCTGTTCTCTTTCTAGCTGAATAACTCAAAGGGTTTTTCAGTAATTCTTACGACAAATCGTATCTAGATGTCTAAACGTCTTAT